GACGGATCTGGCTGCTCATGGCTGGCTGACGGATCTGGCCACTCATGGCTGGCGGAAGGCTCTGGCTGATCCTGTCTGGCGGAAGGCTCTGGCTGATCCGGTCTGACGGAAGGCTCTGGCTGCTCCTGTCTGGCGGAAGGCTCTGGCTGATCCTGTCTGGCGGAAGGCTCTGGCTGATCCTGTCTGGCGGAAGGCTCTGGCTGATCCTGTCTGGCGGAAGGCTCTGGCTGATCCTGTCTGGCGGAAGGCTCTGGCTGATCCTGTCTGGCGGAAGGCTCTGGCTGATCCTGTCTGGCGGAGAGCTCTAGCGGCTCCGGTCTGGCGGACGGCTCTGAAGGCTCATGGCAGACGGGCGGCTTTGCAGGCTCAGTACAGACGGGCAGTTCAGACGGCGTTGGGCAGACGGACAGTTCAGACGGCGTTGGGCAGACGGGCAGTTCAGACGGCGTTGGGCAGATGGGCAGTTCAGGCGCCGTTGGGCAGACGGGCAGTTCAGACGGCGTTGGGCAGACGGGCAGTTCAGGCGCCGTTGGGCAGACGGGCAGTTCAGACGGCGTTGGGCAGACGGGCAGTTCAGGCGCCGTTGGGCAGACGGGCAGTTCAGACGGCGTTGGGCAGACGGACAGTTCAGGCCCCGTTGGGCAGACGGCAGACTCTGGCCGTCTGAGGCGCACCGTAGGCCTGGTGCGTGGTGCCGGAACTGGAGGTACCGGGCTGAGGACACGCATCTCAGGGCTAGTGCAGGGAGAAGCAACAGGGCATGCTTGGCCCTGGGGACGCACCGTAGGCCTGATGCGTGGTGCCGGAACTGGAGGTACCGGGCTGAGGACACGCATCTCAGGGCTAGTGCGGGAAGCAGCAACAGGGCATGCTTGGCCCTGGGGACGCACATAAGGCCTAGTGCGGAGAGCAGCAACAGGGCATGCTGGACCCTGGGGACGCACATAAGGCCTAGTGCGGAGAGCAGGAACAGGCCGGGCTGGGCTGGCGACGCGCACCGTATCCCTGGTGCGTGGAGTAGGAACAGGCCGGGCTGGGCTGGCGACGCGCACCGTATCCCTGGTGCGAGTGGCCGGAACAGGCCGGGCCGGGCTGGCGAAGCGCACCGTATCCCTGGTGCGTGGAGTAGGAACAGGCCGGGCTGAGCTGGCGACGCGCACCGTATCCCTGGTGCGAGTGGCCGGAACAGGCCGGGCCGGGCTGGCGAAGCGCACCCTATCCCTGGTGCGTGGAGCAGGAACAGGCCGGGCTGGGCTGGCGACGCGCACCGTATCCCTGGTGCGAGTGGCCGGAACAGGCCGGGCCGGGCTGGCGAAGCGCACCGTATCCCTGGTGCGTGGAGTAGGAACAGGCCGGGCTGAGCTGGCGACGCGCACCGTATCCCTGGTGCGAGTGGCCGGAACAGGCCGGGCCGGGCTGGCGAAGCGCACCCTATCCCTGGTGCGTGGAGCAGGAACAGGCCGGGCTGGGCTGGCGACGCGCACCGTATCCCTGGTGCGAGTGGCCGGAACAGGCCGGGCCGGGCTGGCGAAGCGCACCCTATCCCTGGTGCGTGGAGCAGGAACAGGCCGGGCTGGGCTGGCGACGCGCACCGCATCCCTGGTGCGAGTGGCCGGAACAGGCCGGGTCGGGCTGGCGTAGCACACCGTGGACCTGGTGCTTGGAGTAGGAACAGGCCGGTCCGTACCGGGAACACACACCACTGGCCTCAACCGAGGATCAGGAACGGGCCGGACCGGACTGGCAACACACATCAGTCCTTCACGCCGTGCCACAAACACTTCCCTCCCTCTACTCGCCAATGGCTCCCGTACTCCGTTAGCCTTCTCTCCTTTTCTCCCTGTGGCAGCCTCCTGCTGCCCAGCCGCCCAAGCCATGTGCCCCCCCCAAAAAACTTTTTGGGGTTGCCTCCCGTCCTTCCGACGATGGCCCTGCCGATGCCGTTGCTCCTCTCCTGCCAGGTTCTCCCCCTTCATCGCCCTCCGGTACCGGACGGCCTCCTCCTGGGTAATATGTCCCCAGCCGAGGAGGACATCCACCAACGTTCTCTCCTGACCCGGCGCCTCCTCCCATGTCCAGACCCTTTGCTCCTGGACGCGCTGCTTGGTCCTTTTGTGGTGGGTTTTTCTGTCACGATCGTCGAAAGGAGGAGACCAAAGCGCAGCGTGTTGAGCGAACATCGTAGACTATTTAATAAGAAACCACGATCAAAAACAACAAACCAAATATGACGAAAGTGAAGTCCAATACTGATATAGACTAACAGCAACAAGGAAACAAAAACCCACAAAACCAAGGTGAAACCACACAGTATAAATATGGCTCCCAATCAGAGATAACGAGCCGACAGCTGACACTCGTTACCTCCGATTGGGAGTCATATGACTAATCAACATAAAACCCAAACATAGAAATGAAACAACTAGATCCCACATAGAAATACACCCAAAAGAAAATGACAACCCTGGCTCACAACTAAGAGTCCCGGAGCCAGAACGTCACAATGTGTTGTGATAATTGTGTTGTTTGCTCTATAACCTGTTAGTTCATATGCCTTGCCACCGTAATATATAGGCCTAAAGGCCGAGACAATAAGAAGACACAATGGCAGAATAAATTAAACCACACCTTTGTTTCATCACAAAACCGGAGAGCAACATCTGTCAGGTGAAGTCCACAAAGCATATTGCATGTAACAAACATTTACATGACCTATACCATGGTCAAGCAAGTTAATGTTTCTGACATTTTCGGACTACTTAACAACTATGGATTTAGAACCACGGAGAGTTACAGCAAGTCTCAAAGAAAACAGGAGCTACCTCCGCTATTCCTGTACCATTTCATCTTCAACATTTCAGCATCATCAAATCACCTATGCTTAGTCTAATACAGTGACAACTAAAAGATAACAAAAACAATTTAATCCAATCAACATAAGTTAAATATGATGTGGTTCTGTTTCTCTCTCTCTCTGTGTGTGTGTGTGTGTGTGTGTGTGTGTGTGCATCCATTCCTGCAAGTAGAAAAAACATGTTGACTCACCCTACTTGTAGAAACGCCAATGCCATCCTCCTTTCTTTCATGTTGACGGAACGGTTTATGACTGTCATACAGTACACGCTTTTAGTTGTTATCCTAGGCTACCTGGCTAAAATGCTTGCTTGCTAGCCTAACTTCCTTTCATGGGCAACGATGAGCCATCTAGTTAACATTAGCCTACTACATCTAGCTACATATTGAACTTCCATCCTCTCAGGCCAGGGGCACAATGTATGAATATATGGTTGGATCAGAATCACCGTTATCATCATTGGTCAGTACGGAGAATGAAGTAAACCACAAGTCCAAATCCCTATTGCCATCCATGGCTAATTTAGGAATGGGCCAATTATAACTAGCTAGCTAGGCACCAGAGGACAACGACACAACGAGATGCAACAATTCACGTTTTTTCTGTCTGACATTTTGCTTTTGATGTGATGTGATTGGTGTGAGGTAGCTTAGTGGTTAAGAGCGTTGTGCCAGTAAAGGTTGCTGGTTCTAATCCCTGAGCCGACTAGGTGAAAAATCTGTTGATGTGCCCTTGAGCAAGGCACTTTGTCACGCCCTGGCTCTGGGACTCTGTTATGTTGAGCCAGGGTGTGTTGTTTCTATGTGTTTTGTGTTCTAGGTTGATTATCTAGCTCATGTGTTTCTGTGTTGGCCGGGGTGGTTCTCAATCAGAGGCAACGAGTATCAGCTGTTGCTTGTTGTCTCTGATTGGGAACCATACTTAGGCAGCCTGTTTTCCACAGTGTTTTGTGGGATCTTGTTCCGTGTATGGTTTGTGTCTGTTACCTAGGACTTCACGTATCGTTTTGTTGTTTTGTTTCATGTGGTGAATCAAATTAAAGGTATGTTCACTCATCACGCTGCGCATTGGTCCACTTCCTCCAACGATCGTGACACACTTAATCCTTATTGCTCTGGATAAGAGTGTCTGCTAAATGACTAAAATGTAAATGTGTGAAGCCAAATCCAAACTGGCTCCCCTTGACACTTTTTTTGGGGTACGCCAGGACCATTCACAGTTGAGCTCACTCAATTTAGCTCAATGCTGACAGGCCAAATGCTCGCTGGCTTCCCTTGCATTCAATGCTATGGGCAGCAACAATGTCATACTCTTTTTGACCAGACAGCATCAGATAGATGGGCTACACATAGAGAGACAGAGGGGCGCTGTTTCGCTCAGTCGGATGCTTTATCCCAGGGCTCTCCAACCCTGTTCCTGGAGAGCTATACTCCTGTAGGTTTTCACTCCAACCCCAGTTGTAACTGACCTGATTCATCTTATCAACTAGCTAATTATTAGAATCAGGTGCGCTAGATTAGGGTTGGAGCGAAAACCTATAGGACGGTAGCTCTCCAGGAACAGGGTTGGAGACCCGGCTTTATCCTGTGAGATACATTCAGCCTCTTGCGAATTGAAGGAAAATTCTGAAACACAGAGAGACAAAATATAATTTATTTAATGTTTTTTACTTTGTTTTATTTTTTGGGGGGGAAGCCTGGATTGATTCCCTTGGCATCCATGAATACATGACACTGTCTACTGAACCAGTCTATTGCATACACATTACTACTATCCCCCTGGTCACTACAGACCCCCTGATTTGATTCCAGGCTGTATCACAACCGGTGGTAATTGGGAGTCCCATAGGGCGGCGCATAATTGGCCCAGCGTCGTCCGGGTTTGGCTGGTGTAGGCCATCATTGTAAATAAGAATTTGTTCTTAACTGACTTGCCTAGTTAAATAAAGGTAAAATAAAAAATAAAATATCTGTCAGATCAACTATTGGTGGACTTCACAGCTGCCAATGCAAATGATGTCTGTTCAGGTATACAAGGAATCTAATTAAAATGCTTGTTGTTATTGTTGGCTGTCTGCTAACGACCTCTAGATGCAGTCCAACTCAACGTCACCACCAGTTGATCCTAGTACTGACACAAAAAACCCCGCTGCACTGTGTCTTTAAGACATTCAACTGCATGTATAGCAAGCCTTCGCTCAGCGGCATTTACAAGCGCGAGCACTTCAGAGAATAGACACTGTTACAGCACTGCAATATAGATGGAATTGTAATAATGGAATACCACTGGGTACTGTTTTCTGTCTTGTTGCAGTTAACCTTCCAAACAGGTAAGACGTAATATTTGTCAACATTGTCTCTTTGCCAACTGTTGTGGGCTAGTTGTTGTTTTACATAAGTTTATTGCTCACACTTCACGAACATCACCTTGGTCACTACACTAAATTGCATTTTTGCCACTTTTGTTCATTATAATTATTTGTTCGTTTTTCATGTTGGCTATAAATATGTAATTTCTATTCAGTTAAGGATTGTATTGTAGCCTAAACTACACACATTTTCAGCACGTTATAACTTTGTATTGTCTATAATTTTGTCAACACAGATCGTTCAGGACGTAGAGATAGCCTGCCTACTTGTTGGTTACCCTGTACCTTGACATTTTCAGTTAGTCACTGAAACCTAATGAGGAAATTGGATATTTGTGCGCTCAGCATCAGTTTGTGCTCCTCTCAATTATTCATCTAGCAGGCCGGGCACAGTACGGAGACATTGGCCAAAAGTAAATAAACAGCGATTTATTTATGGAGAGATTTATAATTGACATCGTTGTAGGCTAAAGTAAAGATTTAGACATTACAATTAGGAATCTTTCTTGAAAGAATGCAACTTGTTGTTTTGATCAACTAGATTATTTGGGAATAGGCCAGGTACCCTAGTTATAATGCACAACATTAGTTCAACAGCCTATTTGTATAGGCTCGCTAAATACTTTGTTCCTTTCCAAGAGCCTCGAGTCATTGGCGCAGAAAGCGCTGCGCTGGCCAGTTGCTGTTGTCAAGTCTTGTCATTTCAGCGATGCCGCTGATAACTTTAATTATGGAAATGTCTAGGAATTCCTTGGAAGTATGCTAATAAACACTGGCAGTGGTATTGTCGGAAAATTTGTTTTGCATAGACCTACAGCCTTTGGCTGTTTATAGATGTTCTGTGACCATTATACAGAGGCTTTTGTCATATATATTTTTTTATATCAACTATGTTTATATCAACATACCCATTCAAACTCTATTTTGTAAGCCTTGGCATGGTGTTTTGATGTTAGGACTTCAGGTGCCATGTAAAAAATATTTGACATGATTTACAACATGCCTCACCTGTGAATGAGCAGTATTGAGCTGTGAGTGGTATGCCTATCTCTGCTTGTAATTGCTTACATCGTTTAAGAATCAATCCAAACACCCACTTGAAAACACACAACAGGCAAAGGCAGATAAATAATGTCAGTTATCCTGTGAAGCGATGGGGGAGTTTGTCTGCAGGGTGGGTTTGGGTTGGTTTGTGGTCTGTTACAGTGGCGCGCCGTGCGTTGTCCTTGGCACGTCTTTGTCCTGGATGTACAGCCTAGGCAAGTTCTGTCTGCTTCTCGCCAGTTTAGGGGTTGTTTTTATCAGTTGTATTCTGCAGGTGGAGTTTATTTTGTTCTGCCTGCAAGTGATTTTCCTTTTCCACATACACTCTGCTAAATTCTATTTAGGCTATATTCCAATGGTGGTCAGGCCATTTAAGATTAGGGATAATTTATTTTATTTTTACGAGTGTGCCCTTATTTCCATTACAGCATATTGGATGACCGTCATTCATATTCCATTCACCCAGCTCAATGGAACATCGATAGGTTAATACTACTACATGATACTAGAATTCAATTAGCCCTATACCCATCATGAGGTTGCTACAACCTATCCTAACGGTTGAGAAACAAATTGGAGTAATCAAGGTAACAGATAGCGACACATTCAATACCACCTTGCACAATCTTACCAGCATCTAGCTCAGGGATGGGCAACTCCAGTCCTTGGTGGCCAGATTGGTGTCACACTTTTGCCCCAGTTCCAGCTAACACACATAACTCCAATAATCAACTAATCATGATCTTCAGTTTAGAATGCAATTTGTTTAATCAGGTGTGTTTGCTAGGGATGGGGAAAAAGTGTGACACTACTCCGGCCCCCGAGGACTGGAGTTTCCCCTCTAGCTGATCTGGGGTGTAATCATTAGGCCAAACAAGAGTTTCTATTTGCCAAATTTAGATAGGTCCCTCCCCATTTTGTTAGTTTGCTTCCATTTAAGAAACATTTTTGCAACAGAATCGGCGGAATGAATACACCCATGATCACCCGCACACAGTTCACTTTCATAGCAGCCACATGCAGCATCATCACTTTGCTCGTTTTATAATTCCTTCTCAAATCTACATGCTCTTTTCCTCACCTTTTCCCTTCACTTGTGGACTTCAGTGCACAACACAACAGCTGTCTGTGACCAGGCGCAAAAACCTATCCAAGACAAACCTTCATACCATAACTGCTAACCGCTACACAGCCTACATTGTTGTCACCATATTAACATTATAGTCATCAAACTAGAGCTAACACGATAGTAAACCCACAATCCAATCCATGTGTAAAATAACGCAGTACAGTGTATAGCAAGCAGTTTAGCAGTTACACCTGCGGGTCACGGTGGCAATAAATTCATAAAACTGAAAGCTTAGCTTGACTTGGAAGAGTTGTGGTGTTGGATAGACTTAGCCAGCTAGCTAGCTATCATAAATAGCATTCCTCTCTGTATGAGTCAGGTTGTTGAGTAAATAAAATTACATTTTATTTGTCACATGCGCCGGATACAACAGGTGTAGACCGTACCGTGAAATGCTGACTTACAAGCCCTTAACCAACAATGCAGTTTTAAGAAAAATAAGAGTTAAGAAAAGATTTACTAATAACAACAAAATAGCAATAACGAGGCTATATACAGGGGGTACCGGTACCAAGTCAATGTGCGGGGGTACAGGTTAGTCGATGTAATTGAGGTAATATGTACATGTAGGTAGGGGTAAAGTGACTATGCATAGATAATAAACAGCGAGTAGCAGCAGCGTAAATAGTCCGGGTAGCCATTTGATTAGTTGTTCAGCAGTCTTATGGCTTGGGGGTAGAAGCTGTTAAGAAGCCTTTCGGACCTAGACTTGGCGCGCCGCTAAATTAGCGGCATTATCTAAGTAAGTGAAAGGTAAACTAAGAAGAAAAGAAATACAACAAAATATCTCTCTCTCTATCTGCTGCTTCTCCTTCATTTTTGAATAAATTAATTTGTTCAAAACTGTTCAACTATTGTCTTTCTCTCCCTTTGAGTCAACTACTCACCACACTTTATGCACTGCAGTGCTAGCTAGCTGTAGCTCAGGGATGGGCAACTTGATCAGCGGGCCTACAAAAGCGGGACTCCTTACGGGCCGCCAGTTGCCCATCCCTGCTGTAGGTTGGAGGACGTCCTCCGGAAGTCGTCATAATTAAGTCTATGGAAGGGGGCGAGAACTAGGGATTAACATGGTTAACCGGGATCCCGGGACTGTCCCGGGAAAACTCTTCACATTTCCTGAAAAATAAAATGACAAGACCCGGGAAATTAAAACATTTTCCCCCAATGTCGCACTAATGCAATTCCACAAAATACACAACATGCGCAGCAGCAGATTAGCAAAAAAGAAAATAGCACATTATCCAAACAGGTTGTCACATGGAAGCCTTTAGCCTAGTGTATCTACTTCACACAAAGTCACAATAAATTCAAAGCACACGCATAATTGACACTGCCGGATTGCACACACGAACCATATGCAGTTAATAAACCATAACACCTCCTCCATGCTTTATGGTGGGAAATACACATGCAGAGATCATTCGTTCACCTACACCGCGCACGACAGAATCAATGTTAATTGATAGTCCCGTTTTAGTAGTGTCTGCTCTGCGCGCAATTTGAGGAGTTGCGACATAAAAAGGGTATCGTTAGAAAGGTTAACTTCTGCTCTACTACAGTAAAATAATGTCTCAATGAGTTTGTGTCCATATGACAGATTCTGGTGGACCAAACCTGAAATGCAAATAGAGAGTTGAAACCACTTGTCAGAGAGGAAGAGGTGATCTCTCATCTTTGTTGTTGTGAGTGGCAGGGGGAGGGTCTTGGTGTAGCTTAGTGGTTAAGGGGGCGGCAGGTAGCTTAGTGGTTAAGAGCGTTGTGCCAGTAACCGAAAGGTCGCTGGTTCTAATCCCCAGCCAACTAGGTGAAAAATCTGTCGATGTGCCCTTGAACAAGGCACTTAACCCTACTTGCTCCTGTAAGTCGCTCTGGATAAGAGCGTCTGCTAAATGACGTAAATGTGTGTGAACAGAAAGGAAGATGCAAAGCGAGAGGTTTCACTCTCGCCAAAACTGTCCAAAATAAGCCCACTGTCGCCTGCCTTCCCGCCTTTGGGACAATGACTCCCATTGTTGGGGCGGAGACATGAGCATCTCATTATATACAGATCTCTGGTATACATGGGAAGGTGCACAAAGCACAGAAGGGGCAAAGGAGACGAGACCAAAAAGCGGACATAAACGCTCTTTAAAAACGTAAAATAAAAAAAATCTTGATACATGCGTTTGGAATATATCGTGCAAAAACATACATTAGAATTAATCAAATTTCTTTGAGATATCGTCCTAGCCTATGCACAATTCACTACATAGGCATCTCCGTCACAGACATGAAGTCTGTTAACGATTGAGAGAGGCATGAGGGAAAATTCTGTCTTCTCCAGTCCTAGAGCTTAGGCTATTTCCCTATCCAGTCCCAATCCCACTGAAACCCAAAATCCTGACTCCTGTATTGCATGAAAATTCCTAACTTTATTCTGTAATCCAAAGGTTGTATTATCAAAGCATGTCTCTCACCTATGCATGTTAAAATACCACTATAACATTTCCCCCGCTTCTCTGCGTTATCTCGTACTTGCTGCCCATATGAGAGCTTCGGTAGAGAATGTGTGATCAACAAACAGTACAAGAGTAGATATAAGAGTAGATATGGATATAGTTGGAAGCACAGAATCGTCTAGAATGTCATTGTAGGCTGTAGCGTAAAGATTTCCCTTCACTGGAACTAAGGGGCCTAGCCCGAACCATGAAAAACAGCCCCAGACCATTATTCCTCCTCCACCAAACTTTACAGTTGGCACTATGCATTCGGGCAGGTGGTGTTCTCCTGGCATCCGCCGAACCCAGATTAGTCCGTCGGACTGCCAGATAGTGAAGCGTGATTCATCACTCCAGAGAATGCGTTTCCACTTCTCCAGAATCCAATGGCAGCGAGCTTTACACCACTCCAGCCGACGCTTGGCATTGCGCATGGTGATCTTAGGCTTGTGTGCGGCTGCTCGGCCATGAAAACCCATTTCACGAAGCTCCCGACGAACAGTTATTGTGCTGACGTTGCTTCCAGCGGTAGTTTGGAACTCGGCAGTGAGTGTTGCAACTGAGGACAGACAATTGTTAAGCGCTACGCACTTCGGCACTCGGTGGTCCCATTCTGTGAGCTTGTGTGGCCTACCACTTCGCAGCTGAGCTGTTGTTGCTCCTAGACGTTTCCACTTCACAATAACAGCACTTACAGTTGACCGGGGCAGCTCTAGCAAGGCAGATATTTGACGAACTGACTTGTTGGAAATGTGCCATCCTATGAATGTGCCACGTTGAAAGTCACTGAGCTCTTCAATACTCTATCATTAGTAAATATTGCTCTGAAATCTTTACATAGTGGCGCAGCCAAGCCGACATGGAGGCACAAGCGCTAGCATAGTGACCATATCTTGGTTTAAATGCTGTAAATGGGCACTTCCTTTTTTTGCTGTATTTCCCACGACTATCGGGATAAATATGAATTATTCCCGACATTGAAACTTGGTTGATTTTCGGGGAAATATGAATCCCTAGTGAGAACAATGAGGAGGACGGAAAATAGCTGTCCTCCGGCTACACCATGTTGCTGTTGAAGCTACTGTAGACCTTCATTGCAAAACTGTGTTTTAAATTAATCAGTTATTTTGTGACGTGAATATATTTAGTATAGTTTTATCTAAAATGCTAACTTTTTTAATGTTTCACTATTTTTATTTTTATGAAATTAACTGAGTTGGAAGGTCCTCCCCTTGCTCCTCTGAGGAGCCTCCACTGCTATATTCAGTGTTCTGGTTTTGACTATTTTATAAAAAAAATAAAAACATTTCAGTTGGCTTGAGAGCCAAAGGGTGCCTAGGGAATGGAACGGGAGAGAACTTTGTTGGCCTTCAAAGCAAAATCAATATGACACTCCGCCAGTGCTGATATTGCTGCAGGTAGATTTCAAGTTGTGCCAAAAATTGTACATGGTGCATAGTTTTACATCTTTGCCAAAGCGATAACTCACCTGTCATTTTTCAGTCATGAAGTGGTGTCAATATATTGATGGGAGTGCTATGATAATGATCTGTATTACTATCAAAATGCATGCATAACAAGCTATGAGGCTCTCATCTACCCATCCTCAGTATATACATACATTTCTAACCTACTATTACTGTTGAAGTACCTGCAGTGCACTCTTTGCTGTTAAAGATACAGGTAACTGCTAATATAAAGGAAACACTTGAGTAAAAGGTGTGGTTCCTGATTAAGCAATTAACATCACATCATGCTTAGGGTCATGTATAAAAATGCCCAGTTGCCCATTATTTTGGCTACCATGGCTAGAAGAAGAGATCTCAGTGACTTTGAAAGAGGGGTCTCAAAGGAGCATAGGGGGTTTAAAGGGTGTTTGTGTGTGTGTGTGTGTGTGTCTCAGTCACCAGATCTCAACCCAATTTAACACTTATGGGAGATTCTGGAGCGGTGCCTGAGACAGCGTTTTCTACCACCATCAACAGAACACGAAATGATGGAATATATCGGAAGAATGGTGTCACATCCCTCCAATACAGTTCCAGGCACTTGTACAATCTATGCCAAGGTGCATTAAAGCTGTGCTAGCAGCTCGTGGTGGCCCAACACCCTATTAAATCACTTTATGTTGGTGTTTCCTTTATTTTGGCAGTTAACTGTAGGTACTTGTATGTCTTACTTATTTGCTCCATTCTGTTAAACGTACCTGTACTCTTAACTTTTCACCCATCTAAACACAAATGAGAGTGAAATTCTCCCATATACAGTAAAACGGAATTATCATTAGCCTATAGATACTGTTCAAGGTCCATTGGAAACTAACCAATGTCAGTCGTGAGGACTGTGGCGTGTTATAATTCAATTTTCAGCAGTGGTGTAGTGGTGCCTGGAGAAGTGGGTTTAATTAAAATGGCCCGCCCGGCGAAGGAAAGGCGCCCTGTGTGAAAAAGTATATGAGAAACAGTGACATACACTCTGAATGACCTAAAATGATCAATCCCATGTTGGTCTTTCACAGTCAGGCCAACCCAAGCTGTACTGTGCAGTAAGCTAATAGTAGGCCTACTATTGAAATAGATAAATGAGGGTGTCAACTGAGTCAGAAATTCACCGGTTTCAGATTTCCCCCTATTTTTTCAGGTTTCTGTTCTCAGTCAACATTTTTTTAAACAGAAAAATAGCAAAATTCTATGTTCTATGTCCATAACAATACTTAAATCACATCAGGAGACCACTTCTGAGGTCTGGGAAAAATCTGAGTTTGAGTGTAGTTCCCCTTTAATTCAAGTGTGCAGGCACCAATAACTGTTTGGTTTGCAGTGTTTCTGTAGCACATGAGATGGAGTTTGCAAAATAAATGGCCACTGGATTGATTCAATATGAATGATATCATTCTGACAGGTAGGCATAGGAACATTCACGCGTAGGCCTACTGTCGTGTGTACATTGCTGCACCTAAAATGTGAAGAAATAATAGTTAATCAACATTTTAAACTAAATACTCCGATCTGTTTCATCAGCCCTATTAATGGATAAGGTGTAAACCTCCACTATCACTACTTTGATATGTATCAGTGGGGATTAAGAAGTGAGTATACACTCCATTACACCACTGATTTTCAGTGATTCTGTGTATGATATCCAGAGTACAGGAGGTTGGTGGCACCTTAATTTGGGAGGACGGGCTTGTGGTAATGACTGGAGCAGAATTAGTGGAATGGTATCAAATACATCAAACAAATGGATCGCATGTGTTTGATGCCATTCCATTCGCTCCGTTCCAGCCATTATTATGAGCCGTCCTCCACTCTGCAGCCTCCACTGATCCAGAGCCTGTTTTATCTATACTGTACTGTAATGAAGATCCCAACCATGTTACCACAGGCAGCTCCAGGCCCACCATCACCCCCAGCAACCCCCACCTGGTCATTCCACTCAATGCCCCCTTCAGTCTGCATTGCCAGGGTGACCAGGTGATGCGGTGGCAGCGGGAGGACCGTCCAAAGCTGAGGGGCGAGGTGCGGAGTAATGGGGCGTCCGACCTGAAAATCCCCAAAGCTCAGCCTGTCCACATGGGCCGGTACATCTGCCTGGAGGAGAGCAGTGGAGAGCAGAGCTCTGTCTACGTCTTTGTCAAAGGTGTGTGTTTCTGACTGAACATTCATGGCCCTGTGTGCCTGTGTGGGCATGTATGTGAGATGTGTATGTGAGATGTGATATGTTTATGTGTATCAGGGTATCAGTGAGTGAGTGAGTGAGTGAGTGAGTGAGTGAAAGAGAGGGGGCGGGAGAAAGTGTGCACATGGGAAAGGTACCTGTTTTACTCTGATCTTGTGAACATTTCTTTGAGGCAGAACAAGTGATAAAACCTTTTCTTAGAGGGGAATTGTTTGTGGTTGTGTTTGTGCATGAAGGTTTTTACAAGTGTCTCCTGGATCGATAGGTATTTGGATCAGTCTTTGGATCTTCAACACTACTTAGACTAGTACCATGACCATAGGGCAGTACATCTAGATAGAACTGCTTATTTCTTGGAAACTGCCTACTGTGTGTGTGTGTGTGTCAGTGATTGATTGATTATTGCCTAAAGAGCAAACTGGATCTGTCTCAATGTTTGGCTAACACAATTAGCACTATCTCCTAATCTCTTCTCTCAGTATTATACATACAGTACATACGTACAGCTTTCCATATACACTGTAAAAAGTGGGACGACGCCTTTGTTAATCTGAAGTGCTTTTACTGATTGGAATGATTGAAAATTATACTTTGGTTTGTTCAACCTATTCTATTCAATTTGTCTGATATCAAATAACAAATTTGACAGATCAATGTGATTTTTGGAATTGAATTGAATGAAAGCTTCTGAATTGCTTTCAACGCTTGCGGTAGGGGCAATGTAGCGGTGGCAGCCTTGCAGAAGATTTGGAGGCGTGACTTATTGGGGGCATGGTTTTCAGGTTGTTCTTTTTGGCTACCCATGAGAGTGAATGTCATCCCAGTTAATGTGGTCTATTGTAATCGACATTCAAACTTAAATTTCTATACTGCCAGGTTTTGTAATGATACTGGCATAAGTGCATGTGAAACTGAAGCATGTTCTATGTTAAGGTAGCTAATATTTGGTTATGAAATTGTGGCTGCTAAATATGAAACTATTTTGTAAGTTATTTCAAGCTATTGAACAAACTTAATTTCTCAATTTACAGGGAGTTTATTTAATTGCTTGTAATCCAATTGAAGAAATTTGGGTAGGTAATTCCAAATTAAAAAGTGAACTTGGAACGACATGGTGGACAAAATGTAATGTATTTACATGAAATATTAGTTTGTATGTTGTTATTTATTAGGTTGAACCAAAGGGGAAAAGTAAGTTGAGTGTTGAAAGAAATAGGTTGCAACTTCAAATATAGGTTTCATTATAATCAAATAAAACAGTTGGCATTAAATCATTTATTTGGTTTCAACAAATGTAGTATTTATCAATTGAGAAAACATAATTAATTTACTTCTAACCAGTTTAAGTGATCATTTTTTAGGTTGATCCAAATATAATTTTTGTACAGTCTACCTGAGGTTGTTTTCATACCACACTGTTGATTTTAAGTTGTTGTTTTGGCAGATCCTGATAATGCCTTTAGAAAGACCATAGTGTTCAGTATCCTAACACGTGCGGGAGACAGCGCCTCCATCCCCTGCCTAGCAACCGACCCGGGCGTGGTCAACCTGAGCCTGGAGCCGTGTCATGGCGGTGCCCTCCCTACTGGCCTCCACTATGTTGCCAGCCTGGAGCAGGGCATGGTTATCTACGACACTAAGAAGGCCTTCGAGGGCTGTTATATCTGCACTGGCAGACTTGGCGGCGCCCACGTTAAATCACATCACTATGATCTGACTGTGCGCCCAGGTAAAATAGCATTATCTGTGTGTGTGTTCTGGAATGTGTATCCAGATCTTTTATTTTATATTCAAAAAATGTTATCTCAGTCCCAGATGCAGCCCCTGTAATTGAGATGCAGGAACCCAAGAGGGTGGTCCTGACGCGGGGCCAGACTCTTACCCTGACCTGCAGCACCACCAACGTCAACGGAGACATCAAGCTGAAGTGGGCTGCACCGCCCGGCACGGTGAGAACCCTTTGCCCTCTCTCTGGGGGGTTGACCAGGGAGGCTGGAGGGATACCAAGGACAGATCTCCAACAGATTGACTGAAAGAGAGATTGAGATTGGAATTTTATTGGAAAAGCTGAAAAGATAGATGTCAAATTCAGGGATATCAAGTTATAACAAAAGCTCTCAGAACAATGTTTGTAAGATTTAGAGGGGACTATAAGAGTTATGAAGCATTTACAAGAGAGTCCAAAACGCTCCAAGATTGAAACTTCAGTATCTTGAGAAACCAGTGTGATGGGAGGTTGCAGGATTACGTTTCTCAGGGTCGTCACGGTGAGGTGTGTGTTTACGCCTGTGTGTGTGTGTGTGTGAGAGAGAAGTTAGCCCTCCTATCCCCCTGGCCAGGGAGGGAAGGAATGCAGCCCAGGCCAGGATTAACAGGGTTAATCTCTAGACATCTCTGGGTGTTGATTGACAGGATGCCGTGTGGGCTTCGTATCCACAGCAACCGGCGGTGGAGAACGCCTCACGCATCCTGACTGAGCCCATCAAACACGTCCGCAGCGCTAGGCTCTACATCAACTCTGTCAGGGCACGGGATTCTGGGAGATATCGATGTGAGGGTCAGAATGAGAAGGGGATCAGCTCTGAGTCAATCTGGCTGGACGTCTATGGTGAGTATGGCATTACAGTGTATGGTCAATTATATAAAACTACTGCTGATCAATATTGAAATTCTCAATTTGAATGGGTTGTATTATGTATTTCCATGACGTGAAACTATCAAAACACTAATTTGAAAACCTAAGTGGAAATGAAGTGGTTTTGTTTAGAATATATCACAGGCACTGTGACGTCATTCTGTCTGACGTGTGGGTGGTTTATCTTCCAGATAGAGGCTTCATTAATCTGACTCCGTCAGACAACGGTACAGTGCGTGTTCGTGCTGGTGAGAGTTTGTCCCTGCGTGTGGACATGGAGGCCTACCCCAAACCACACACCTTCACCTGGAGCTTATCAGGCCAGCAGCTCAGGAACACCTCCGACCATGTCATCACCACACAGAACCACCAACACAGGTACACACACACACTAGAAATTAATTAGTGCCTCAGGGCTTTTAGTGAGTGGGAGTATTGTGCAGTTAAACTATGGGAAAATAACTGGCTTTCTGGTGATAAATAACCATGGGGCAGTTTCTGACCTAGCCAGAGCACTGCGCTGATGATTATTTTCAAAAATCAACTTCTATAACGTGAGTTGTTTTTTAAATGTTGTTATTGATTCAATCACCAGGTACAACAGTGTGCTGAGGCTGGTGCGTTTAAAAACGTCAGAGAGTGGAGTCTACACCTTTTATGCCTCCAATGGTGATGCAACAGTCAATCAGTCATTTTCAGTCTACGTAATCAGTAAGTCGTAACATTATATTCTCTAAATGTTTTCTGTGCCCTGGAGCCACACATACATTATGTAAGGAAATGGGCAGTTAGAGACTTAATTTCTACATACTATCAATATTAAGTAATTAAGCATTAACATGATGTGGCATTTATGACTAGATTTTCACAGACCATTCACCATGTTAAAGTCCAAACACTTATTCTCTCCCTCTCTCCCAACCATCAAAACAGTAAATCAGAGCATTACAGTTGACGTACAGGCCCATAACTAGGGAAAATAGTTTAGGATATTAGTTTGCCAATTTACTTCAAATCACATTTTTATTGTCACATGCTTCGTAAACAACAGGTGTAGACTAACAGTGAAATGCTTACTTATGGGCCCTTCCCAACAATGCAGAATACAATAAATAAAATAATAATAGTAGGAAAAAGAATTTACACGAGGAATAAATACACAATGAGCAATGATAGCTTGGTTATATACATGCGGTACCAGTACGTAGTCGATGTGCAGGAGTACGAGGAAATTGAGGTAGATACAGTGGGGGAAAAAAGTATTTAGTCAGCCACCAATTGTGCAAGTTCTCCCACTTAAAAAGATGAGAGAGGCCTGTAATTTTCATCATAGGTACACATCAACTATGGCAGACAAAATAAAATAAAAAATCCAGAAAATCACATTGGAGGATTTTTAATGAATTTATCTGCAAATTATGGTGGAAAATAAGTATTTGGTCAATAACAAAAGTTTCTCAATACTTTGTTATATACCCTTTGTTGGCAATGACACAGGTCAAACGTTTTCTGTAAGTCTTCACAAGGTTTTCACACACTGTTGCTGGTATTTTGGCCCATTCCTCCATGCAGATCTCCTCTAGAGCAGTGATGTTTTGGGGCTGTCGCTGGGCAATACAGACTTTCAACTCCCTCCAAAGATTTTCTATGGGGTTGAGATCTGGAGACTGGCTAGGCCACTCCAGGACCTTGAAATGCTTCTTACGAAGCCACTCCTTCGTTGCCCGGGCGGTGTGTTTGGGATCATTGTCATGCTGAAAGACCCAGCCACGTTTCATCTTCAATGCCCTTGCTGATGGAAGGAGGTTTTCACTCAAAATCTCACGATACATGGCCCCATTCATTCTTTCCTTTACACGGATCAGTCGTCCTGGTCCCTTTGCAGAAAAACAGCCCCAAAGCATGATGTTTCCACCCCCATGCTTCACAGTAGGTATGGTGTTCTTTGGATGCAACTCAGCATTCTTTGTCCTCCAAACACGACGAGTTGAGTTTTTACCAAAAAGTTCTATTTTGGTTTCATCTGGCCATATGACATTCTCCCAATCCTCTTCTGGATCATCCAAATGCACTCTAGCAAACTTCAGACGGGCCTGGACTGGCTTAAGCAGGGGGACACGTCTGGCACTGCAGGATTTGAGTCCCTGGCGGCGTAGTGTGTTACTGATGATAGACTTTGTTACTTTGGTCCCAGCTCTCCGCAGGTCATTCACTAGGTCCCCCCCCGTGTGGTTCTGGGATTTTGCTCACCGTTCTTGTGATCATTTTGACCCCACGGGGTGAGATCTTGCGTGGAGCCCCAGATCGAGGGAGATTATCAGTGGTCTTGTATGTCTTCCATTTCCTAATAATTGCTCCCACAGTTGATTTCTTCAAACCAAGCTGCTTACTTATTGCAGATTCAGTCTTCCCAGCCTGGTGCAGGTCTACAATTTTGTTTCTGGTGTCCTTTGACAGCTCTTTGGTCTTGGCCATAGTGGAATTTGGAGTGTGACTGTTTGAGGTTGTGGACAGGTGTCTTTTATACTGATAACAAGTTCAAACAACAAAATATTGCTTGTTTGTAGGTGACCAAATACTTATTTTCCACCATAATTTGCAAATAAATTCATTAAAAATCCTACAATGTGATTTTCTGGATTTTTCTCTCTCAATTTGTCTGTCATAGTTGACGTGTACCTATGATGAAAATGACAGTCCTCTCTCATATTTTTAAGTGGGAGAACTTGCACAATTGGTGGCTGACTAAATACTGTTTTCCCCCACTGTATGTTCATATAGGTAGGGGTAAAGTGACTAGGCAACAGGATAGATAATAGACAGTAGCAGCATCGTATGTGATGAGTGTGGAAGTGTGTGTGTGGCGAATGTGTGCCTGTGTTATGTGTGAGTGTGTGTGTACATGTTGGAGTGTCAGTGTAAGTATGTTTGAATGTGTGAGTACTTGTCATTCATGCTAAGAATCCCCACCTGGCATCATCACTAACATCTCTGTGCTCCTGTCAGGTAAACCAGAGATTGTATCTCATGAGGGCCCGGTGGACGGACAGGTGCGATGTGTGGCTAAGGGATACCCCGCCCCACAGATCACCTGGTACTATTGTGAACAACCCTATATGAGGTGAGAACACACACATACTCACAATGGCATGCTATAATTGGACTGCGTTGATAGATCAAGGGAATGTTTTAATGTAACTGTAATTACTTAATGTTACTCTGAGAAGATATTTGTTTCAACCCTCAGTAAGAGGGTTTCAACATGGTCTAATTATCTTGACCTTCCCACAGTAGAAGCAGATGTGGGATTGGACAAGCATGACTTGCTGGTGGACTGAAGGGAGATTACCCTTATGTGATTAGGGATTGGACAGAGATGATTTGTGATTGGTTTGTTGGCTTGGCACAAGAGGACTGTGTTATGATTTGGGGATTGGACAGTATGTTCTAGGAAGTTCCCTTTCAGTCAGTCACTCGGTATAACATACTATGGGGAGTCAATGACCAATCCTATTCGCCTAAAGCAAACTGACATCATGCCCAACGGGCCAATGGATGGCGAGCCCGCCCTCGGGAACCCCCGCCTTCCTGGCTATAATACCGGGGCTCGCATCTATTTCCAAAATGTTCCGCTCTTCAGCTCATCTGAAGGAAGAACGTGTCACACAATTTAGAAACCTTTCAAGCACACAAAGGCTACAAGATTCGGCTCTGACTTAGCTGTCTGTTAGTGGGGAGAAAGGAATTGTCCCTCTAGATGTTGCGAGTTTTGGGTCGCGCTGTGTGTTAGCTATTCGGAAAGAGGGATTTGGTCAACAGCGCAAAGGGCGCTGCATATCAATTACTTAGAGCTACTGACTGTTTTGCTAGCGCTGAGGCATTTCCTTCCGATGTTGGAGGGCCAGCATGTGTTGTTAAGGTCCGACAACAGGACGGTGGTGGCGTACATCAACAGGCGGGGAGGGAGGCGGTCTCACTCTCTCCTAACCTGGCTCGTTATCTGCTCATATGGAGCAGTGCACATTCCCTGTCGCTCAGAGTAACGTATCTTCCCAGTTTTCTCAATTTGGGTGCAGATCTACTTTTAAGGGAAGGTCCTATCTCTATGGAGTGGGAACTGCACCCCTCGGTGGTGGCCCAGATTTGGGACCGGTTCTGCATAGCCGATGTAGGTCTTACGCTTCGCGAGTAAACGTGCATTGTCGTCTATTCTTCTCAATGAGGGATCTGGGTGCTCCATTGGGAACGGATGCTTTGGCGTATCAGTGGCCTCGGCCCCTGCTCTATGCGTTCCTCTGGTGGACCTGATTCAGGCCACCGTGCAGAGGGTCTGTTGTTGATTGTGGTGGCTCCCCATTGGCCCAGACAACCCTGGTTCCCGGAGATAATTCGCTTGTTGGGCGGGGTCCCGTGGGGGGTTCCATGTCGTCGGGATCTATTGTCCCAGGCGCACGGGAGGATTTGGCACCCATGACTGAACGGTTGAATTTGACGGCTAGGGGCTTACCCGCAAACGTGATTACGACTATACAGTCGGCCTGTGCGCGTCTACGAGAGAGTTATATACATATAAGTGGCACACGTTTCAGGGTTGGTGTCAGATTGAGGGAGTTTCTCCTTTTCAGATCTCTTTGGTGGACATTTTGATGTTTTTAAAAGAGCTTTTTGAACAGGGCCCTTATTTTTCTTTTTTTATAATACCGGTGTGCCCTGGTATTATAGCCAGGAAGGCGGAGCTTCCGAGGCTGGCTCGGCATCCATTGGCCCATTGGACGTGATTTCAGTTTGCTTCAGGTGAATAGGATGGGTTGTTGACTCCCCAAAGTATGTTATACCTCGTTCCCTCCTTCAGGGAACAGTAGTAATATTCATAACTCCCGGTTATTTATAATGATAAGCATAGCAACACCAATCCAAGGAAACTCTGGTAATGAGTCAGAGGCGATTGGCTAATCATTATCTTATCACTTTCAATTATGATCAAATCGACTTAGAGAGCTGTCCAACTCAAACAAACATGCGTACAGTTACCCTTGAAATGTCTATTTAATTTGTTTGTTTACATAAGGCACAAGGTGATGGTTTGGAATGCCTCAATGTCTAAAATCAAACTTTATTGACACACACACATATGAGAGAGGCACTGAGATAGTTGGGCGATGTCAACCTTTGTCCTATTATGATTATGTACTTTTTTATTGAAATTGAGATTGTTTTCACTTCCGGTACCTCTAAGGTATTGTTGTTTTAGTAGATGCTGACATGGAAGAACATACAGTATATCCTTTAGTTTGGTGTGGAAGACTGGCATTGTAGGGGATGGATTGATTTAGCCTGGCACAGCGAGGTTTTATTTACAAACATTTTAGACCAATGTATGCTTGTACGCGTCATGCCCCTGTTCTGTCCAAAGACTCTCTGTACCTGGCTGTTGTTTTGAGGGCACACATGGTGAACAGAATAGGGAAAAGTTGGGATGGTTGACTCTAAATGACCTGTATCTCAATCAACATTTCCTCACTTTTAAATGTCCTGATCTAATGTGATCCCTTAGTCTCCTGTTTGTATACTCATAACAGCACATTCATCCATGTTACAATTACAACTGTTGTGTTTATAGAGACACATGAAACAAGCAACATTAAATGAAATCAACTAAAAACTACATCCAAATGCAGTCACATTAGTTTGCTTGAAAGTTTGTCCCGTCCCTCAGGTGCTCCCACCAGATGAATGCCACTCAGGAGGAGCAGGACATTGTCACAGTGACATTGTTGAGTCCCTCCTTTGGGAAGACAGAGGTAGAGAGCAGGCTGAACATCACCACGGGAAGATTCCACACGTTGGAGTGTGTGGCCACAGTGGAGGGAGAGCAGGCCTACACACTGTTCTCTATCAGTGGTGAGTTGTGGTGACACACACGCATGCACACACACACTTACACACACACATAGCAGTATACAAATGAGTGGGGGGTTATTGGGGGGGGAGCTTGTAGATATATATTTTTTATAGATAATACTCAATACGAAAACTGAATTAATGTCAGTTATGCAGTACTAACTAAAGTCTAGGCTGTGTTACATTCAGGTCACGAAGGCCATTCATTCAGGTCAGTCCTGCTCTCATTATGTCTAACCTGAGGTGCAGCGTTACAGCTGTTTCTCTTTATGTGGATCAAGGTCATGTAAGTGATCCGTACCATCAACACTCTTCAGTTCAACTCGAAGGATTTCGCAATTAGGTTCAGCTGAATGTTTACGAAAGACTTGGGTTTTGGAAATAGATCTTACCTATAAATAGAGGTGCAATATAACACATTGATATAGGGCTGGAGTCTGTTAGGTAAACATAGGCGGAGAGAGATACCACAAACCTGTGTGATTTGTGATAATGTCTCATCACTTACTAGCAGAAATGATAATCAGTGGTAGGGGCATAGTGTAATTTTGGACCACAAATCCAACTTTCTAGAACATTCTGTTTATATACTGTCTGATGCGCTAGTCTAGTATGACGGCAGTTGAAACCAGAGTGAGAAGAGAGTTATCTTAGCGTGGGTATGGAGAATGAGATTGGGATGGTGTAGAGGTGGAGGGGAAGCTGCCTGGGTACAGTGGCCATGTGGGAGGGCAATATGGATGAGGAGTGTGTAGCCAGGCACGACAGGCTTGTGGGAGCTTGTGCCCAGGCCTTAGTGCTCAGTGGAGTAGGGCAGACACGTGGAGACATGCAGGGAAGTCTGGACCACAGTTGGAGTCCTTGCCACTTTGAATGTTTAAACATTGTGGGAATTTTGGACGTGGCCAGCAAAGGAGGCAGGAAGCTGTAGGGAAAGAATAGAGGGATGGAGGGAGAGCTTTAAAAGCCACTGACAGATTTACAGAGGATTAGTTCCTGCAGACTCTGCATTCTAAGATGATTTGAAATGGAGAGAAAGCCTCTTATGGCTAAAGAGCTTATTACACCTAGTGTACAGAGCTAGGAAAATAATAACACCACAAACAGCTACAGTATACAAAGGAAGACTTATTATACAGCAGTTTTACACAACAACAGCAGCAGTACTGGCGCAGTGGTCTAAGGCACTGCATCGCAGTGCTAGCTGTGCCACTAGAGATCCTGGTTCGAATCCAGGCTCTGTCGTAGCCGGCCGCGACCGGGAGACCCATGGGGAGGCGTGCAATCGGCCCAGCGTCGTCCAGGGTAGGGGAGGGAATGGCCGGCAAGGATGTAGCTCAGTTGATAGAGCATGGCGTTTGCAACGGCAGGGTTGTGGGTAAAAAAATAAAAAAAATTATGTATGCACTAACTAACTGTAAGTCGCTCTGGATAAGAGCGTCTGCTAAATGACTTAAATGTAAATGTAAATGCTACAGCATGCTACATACAGTGCCTTCGGAAATAATTCAGACCCCTTGACTTTTTCCACATTTTGTTAGGTTACAGCCTTATTCGAAAATTTATTAAATTGTTTTTTCCCCTCAACAATCTACACACAATACCCAATAATGACAATGTAAAAACAGTTTATTTGACATTTTTGCTAATTTATAAAAAATTAAAACGGAAATATTATATTTACGTAAGTATTCAGACCATTTACTCAGTACTTTGTTGAAGCACCTTTGGCAGCGATTACAGCCTCAAGTCTTCTTGGGTATGACACTACAAGCTTGGCACACCTGTATTTGGGGAGTTTCTCCCCCATTCTTCTCTGCAGATCCTCTCAAGCTCTGTCAGGTTGGATGGGGAGCGTTGCTGCACAGCTATTTTCAGGTCTCTCCAGAGATGTTAGATCGGGTTCAAGTCCGGGCTCTTGCTGGGCCACTCAAGGACATTCGGAGACTTGTCCCGAAGCCACTCCTGTGTTGTCTTGGCTGTGTGCTTAGGGTCATTGTCCTCTTGGAAGGTGAACCTTCGCACCCGTCTGAAGTCCTGAGCATTCTGGAGCAGGTTTTCATCAACTATCTGTCTGTACTTTGCTCCGTTCATCTTTCCCTTGATCCTGACTAGTCTCCCAGTCCCTGCCGCTGAAAAACATCCCCACAGCATGATGCTTCACCGTAGGGATGGTGCCAGGTTTCCTCCAGATGTGACCGTTGGCATTCAGGCCAAAGAGTTCAATCTTGGTTTCATCAGACCAGAGAATCTTGTTTCCCATGGTCTGAGAGTCTTTAGGTGCCTTTTAGCAAACTCCAAGCGGGCTGTCATGTGCCTTTTACTGAGGAGTGGCTTCCGTCTGGCCACTCTTCCAGAAAGGCCTGATTGGTGGAGTGCCACCGACCACCACCGGAAGTTATAACCTATACGTGATCTCGTTGATTCACCTCAGGAATTTGAACGGCTCCACAAACCGCGGGCTCAGCTTCCGGCAGGGCAGGTGGAGGGGCAGATTCCGGGTCGAGAGCCAGACCCGATCCCCCGGTACGAAAACCGGAGCCTCACTGCGGTGACGGTCAGCGTTGGCCTTCTGACGACACACGGCGCGCTGGAGGTGAACGTGGGCAGCGTCCCACGTCTCCTCCGTGCGCCGAAACCAGTCATCCACCGCAGGAGCCTCAGACTGGCTCTGGTGCCAGTCAATACTGGAAGATCAGTCAATACTAAGGTGAGACCATGGTCGTTGTGGAACTGGTAAAGGTTGTAGCTTACCAGCTGGGAGGTGCCTTGGTGCCTTACTCTGGGTGCACACCGAGCAGGAGGAGACGTACACTATCACGTCCTTAGCCAAGGTAGGCCACCAGTACTTTCCGATCAAGCAGCGCACTGTACGACCGACACCTGGATGACCAGAGGAGGGTGACGTGTGTGCCCAGAAGATCAGACGATCACGGATAAGAGCAGGCACGTACCGCAGCCCAGCTGGACACTGCGGTGGAGATGGATCTGTGCGTAATGCCTGCTCTATATCCGCGTCCATCGCCCATACTCCCGGCGCCACAATGCAGGAGGCCGGGAGTATGAGGGTGTTGTCTCTGGGCCTCTCCTCTGTGTCATACAGTGCGTCTGCCTTCACGTTCTTCGTACCCGGAATGTATGACAGTGTAAAATCAAACCGGGTGAAGAATAGGGCCCACCTGGCCTGGCGAGGATTCAGCCTCCTCGCTGCCTGGATGTACTCCAGGTTATGGTCGTCCGTCCAGATGAGGAAAGGGTGTTTCGCCCCTTCGAGGCAATGCCTCCACACGGTCAAAGCTCGGACAACAGCCAACAGCTCCCAATCACCAACGTCGTAGTTCTGCTCCGCCGGGCTGAGCTTCTTAGAGAAGAAGGCACAGGGGCGGAGCTTGGGTGGCGTGCCCGAGCGTTGGGACAGGACAGCGCCTATCCCTACCTAGGACACATCCACCTCCACTACGAATGGTAGTGAAGGTGGGCCAGTACCGGAGCTGAGGTGAACAGACCCCGCAGTCTCCTGAAGGTCAGCCTCAGCAGACCAGCGGAGCCGGGACGGCCCACCCTTCAACAGGGATATAATGGGAGCTACAACCTTGCCAAAGCCCCAGATAAACCTCCGATAGTAGTTGGCAAAGCCAAGGAAGCGCTGCACCTCCATGGTTGGAGTCGGCCAATTACTCAAGGCTGAAATGCGATCTCCCTCCATCTCCACACCTGAGGCGGTAATGCGGTATCTGAGGAAGGAGACGGACTGCTGGAAAAACATACACTTCTCTGCCTAGGCATAAAGGTAATTTTCCAACAGTCGGACCAGCACTTTGCGAACCAGGGACACATGCTCGGCGTGAGTAGCGGAATACACCAGGATGTCATCGATGTAGACCACCACACCGCGACCAAGCATGTCCCGAAACACCTCGTTCACAAAGGACTGGAAGACGGATGGAGCATTCATCAAAACGTAGGGCATCACCAGGTATTCCTAATGCCCCGTGGTTGTGCTGAATGCTGTCTTCCACTCATCCCCCTCCCGAACCCGCACCAGGTTGTGTGCACTCCTGAGATCTAGCTTAGTGAAGAAGTGTACCCCATGCATTGACTCAATCACTGAAGGAATGAGGGGGAGAGGATAACTAAATCTAATTGTCTCCTTGTTCAGTGATCGATAATCAATGCACGGGTGCAGACCGCCGTCTTTCTTCTTCACAAAGAACAAACTCGAGGAGGTGGGTGAAGTGGAGGGACGTATATACCCCTGGCCCAGGGACTCTGAGACATATGTTTCTATAGCCTCCGTTTCAGCCTGCAACAGGGGGTACACATGACTCCTGGGAGGTACAGCATCTATCCAAAGGTTTATCACGCAATCCCCCACCCGATGAGGTGGTAATTTCAGTCTTAGAAAACACGTGCGCCAAATCGAGGTATTCGGGGGGAAATGCGCAAGGTGGAGGTACCGTCTGGACTTTCCACCGTAGTTGCACCAACGGAAACATCTAGACACCTACCCTGACACTCTCGCGACCTCCCCGTGAGAGCCCTCTGCGGACATGAGAAGGTGGGGTTGTTGAGTGCTAGCCAAGGGATACCTAATACCACAGGGAAAGCAGGAGACTCAATGATCGAAAAAATAACCTGCTCACAATATGTCTCCTGGGTGATCATGGTGACTGGTATAGTGACTTCCGTAACAAACCCGGACCCTAGTGGTCGACTATCAAGTGCTCTGATGGGGAGTGGAATGGATAGGGGAACCAATAAAATGCCTTGACGGCGTGCAAATGCCCTGTCCATAAAGTTTCCAGCTGCGCCTGAATCGACTAGCGCCTTACTACCATGTGATCGGGAAAGTGGATAGGTAGGGTACAGTGCGCAGCAGAGGGCTCTGAACAAGTGTGGGTGTTCCATACCTGGGGTGATGTGTGAGTGCCTGCCGCCTCCAGGCCCAAAAGAACGTTGACTACCAGAGTGGCACTGTCGCTGTCCTCCTCCGCTCTCTCGGCCGGCGGCTCCATCCAGCTCCATCAGCTCGGGACCGAGTCGTCCGGTGTGGAAACGGGCAGACCCCTACCAGGACGTCCTCTGGCTGCCAGCAGGTTATCGAAACGAATGGCCATGTCCACCAGTTTATTGAAGGACAACATGGTGTCCCAGCAGGCTAGCTCCCATCGGACGTCCTCCCACAGATGGGACCGGAATGGTCGATCAGGGCCCGCTCGTTCCATCCGGACCCCGCTGCCAGCGTCCGAAACTCCAACGTGAAGTCCTGCGCGGTCCTCATCCCCTGCCTCAGGTGGACCAGCCGCACGCCTCTCGACCCTCAGGCGGGTGATCGAAGACCGCCCGAAAGAGGCGAGCGAACTCCCCGTAGTCCTCCAACGCGGCTCCTCCTTCGTTCCACACCGCGTTGGCCCACTCCAGGGCTTTCCCACAGAGGCAGGAAACGAGGACGGACACCTTCTACCGCTCCGATGGCGCCGGCCTGATGCTGGAGAAGTACAGCTCCATTTGGAGGAGGAATCCCTGGCACAGTGCCGCCGTCCCATCAAACGCCCGTGGTCGGGATATCTGGATCCCGCCGGGTGCTGGGGTGTAGGTGGCTGGATCCGGTTGGCCAGCTGGTCTCGACAGATCGGGTCCTCTCCTCTCCAGACGTTGGAACCTGAAGAACCCGATCCATCGCATCCCCCAAGCTGGCCAGCATCGTGGAATGCTCCTGGACCCGTGCCACGACTCCAGGCATGCGCTCTTCTCCCGCTGACTCCATAGCAGGTGGGTGATTCTGTGATGAGTGTGATGGAAAGGAGTCAGGCGCAGGAGGGTAATCACCGAATAGAGTTTATTCCTTCGTAGACACACAAATGCGCTCAAATAGCGATCAATGAAACAGGCACAGGGGAAACTATCATCCCTGGCAAATACACTGTAACGGATATCCAATAATACATAGGCACAGGAAAAAATCTACCCTGGCAACACAATGTTACAAGTAGCTCCACCGAGCTACACTACTCTCACAAATAACAATCACCCACAAGGACAAGGGGGCAGAGGGAACACTTATACACAGACTAATGAGGAGATTAGGACCAGGTGTGTGTGATTGACAAGACAAGACAAATGTGATGATGATTGGGGCGGCAGTGGTTAGTAAGCCGGTGACGACGAACGCCGAAGCCTGCCCGAACAAGGAGGGGAGGCAGCCTCGGCCGAAGTCGTGACACTTCCCCAGATCTGTGCCTCGACAAAATCCTGTCTCTGAGCTCTACGGACAATTCCTTCGACCCCATGGCTTGGTTTTTGCTCTGACATGCACTGTCAACTGTGGGACCTTATATAGACAGGTGGGTGCCTTTCCAAATCATGTCCAATCAATTGAATTTACCACAGGTGGACTCCAATCAAGTTGTAGAAACATCTCAAGGATTATCAATGGAAACAGGATGCACCTGAGCTCAATTTCGAGTCTCATAGCAAAGGGTCTGAATACTTATGTAATAAGACTTATGTTATTTTTTTAAAAGTTAGCAAACATTTCTAAAAACCTGTTTTCGCTTTGTCACTGATATCTCTATATCTCTCTGTGTTGTGTGCTTATCCCTACAGAGAGAACAGTGCCCCATGAGCTCTTCACCCCTCTACTGATTGGCTTTGTGTCAGCAGCTGCCCTCCTCTGCGTCATCCTCATAGTGCTCTTCTACAAGTACCTGCAGGTGACTCACCTCTTCTCATGCATGTCACACCCACTTCTACTACTGGTTACACACTTGTGTATAAACTTGGCAAATTACAAACAGTAACTCACAGCCAACGATAAGGTACAGTAGCTCACCATGTGCTGAAGTCTCATGATTGATGTTAGTTTTATGGCGTCCTCTGTACTTCTCCTAATATTACTCCCTGCTTGCCTCACAGAAACCCAAATACCAGATCCAGTGGAAAGTCATTGAAGGTATCCACGGAAACAACTATGTGTATATTGACCCTACCCAGCTCCCATACAACCACCAGTGGGAGTTCCCCCGGGACAAACTGCGTTTCGGTGAGTTCCTTGGAATAGCAAAGTTAATCACCAAGCATGGAGGTTGTCCCAGACATCTCTTACAGTATATCCATAATCTCTAATCCAGAACTGTATGATGTTCAGTTTGTTTTTAGTATTACCCAGGTCTATTTAAGATGTGTAGTATCAAGCCATAGCAGCAGCTGTTGAAATAAGTCTTTTGTTTTGGTATTTGGAGCCAGCCAATGTATCTTTGCGGTCTCATAATGATGGATGCACACCCTATTTGCACACCATATAGGGTGTGCAAATAAAGTTTTACACTTTTACAATAGCTGTGAGCATACACTAACTGCATGATGTATTTAATGTAGCTTTTTTCTTAAATAAACAACCTCAACCCCTCCCTTTAAGCAAATGTTCTGTTGTGTTGTTTCTTTATTTTTTTTTTACCACCCCAAACAGGATTCTGCGTGTCCTGGTGTCTGCTTGCCCTGCCCTTGCAGGGTAAACCTGGTGATCCCTGGTGCAGGAGTCAGAGCTAGGATGTGGGTGGGAAACATGATGGAATAACATTAGTCTGGTTGTGTTCCATGTCTGTCTGCAGGGAAAACTCTGGGCTCCGGAGCCTTTGGGAAGGTGGTGGAGGCTACTGCTTATGGAATGTCCAAAGCTGATACAGTGATGACAGTGGCGGTCAAAATGCTCAAACGTAAGACAGAAGTGATGACAGAAGTGATAATAAAACATTTTGGAGTGGCTGCGTTGCAGAATTCTCTGGAATCTTCTTCCAGATAGTTAAACAACCAACGCTTCTGCGCATGAGCGGGATTCTCTCCCCCTCCGCTGCCGCAACATATCAAAGACACGCAGGACACAGACAGGCAGTCTAAATAGTGATTTAATGTTGTTTTTTCATCATCATTGCAAACATTGATTAGCTAAGCAGGAGGCAGACAGGCAGTCAAAGTAGTAGTGTTATTTTTTCAGTTTTTAATGGTTCTATGTTAGTTGTGGTTAAAACGCAGATAGTTTTTGCCCCAATGCAATGTGTAGACTGTGTCCTGCTTGTGCTACTGAAATATCCTTAGTAACAATTATATCCTTAGTAGCGTCTGCTAAATGACGTAAATGTAATGTAAATGTAAAAAACATTAAGGACACCTTCCTAATATTGAGTTGAGTTGTCTCAAGGCTTAAAAATCATTCTTTAACTTGTCTCCTCCCCTTCATCTACACTGATTTGAAGTGGATTTAACAAGTGGCATCAATAAGGGATCATAGCTTTCACCTGGTCAGTCTATGTCATGGAAAGAGCAGGTGTTCCTAATGTTTTATACACTCAGTGTATATATATTTGTGGAATGTTCATTCAAATCACAGCTAGTTTTTATATCAGCTGTTCAGAAATAGACGTAGGCTACATCATCATGTCGATCAAATTAGTTGATAAGAAGGGTTCAGAAGAGGGTGAGTAAAGTGAACACATACGCACAACGTGATTTGGTTCTTTAGCTCTGGGGAAGAGGCTTCCAGGGGGGCAGAAAAGGATGGTTACCTTTGGTCGCGCAGCCTCAGACAAGTTTAATAGCAATAAAAAGAGACACATTTGACAAATGTGTGTATTTTATGGTGTCTGACTGATCCGACCTGGTCAAGTCATACGGTCAGAGAGAACCCCTGGCCCTAATTATGAGTGGTGAACACCCTCAACAGATATTTGACTACATCTATTTGACTAGCTATTGAGTGTATGTGTGTGTGTGTGTGTGTGTGTTTGTTTGTGTGTGTGCATGCGTGTTTGCATTGATGTATGTATGCTTGTGACATCAACAGTGGCCAGAGGTGTTTGTGCTAGCATGAGGTCAAACTAGCACGAGTCCAGATTTTCTTTGATGATGACTTTGAAGCACTTTAAAATGATCATGTTCTGATGGTTTTTCCACAGCCAGTGCCCATGCCACTGAGAAGGAGGCGCTGATGTCAGAGCTGAAAGTTCTCAGTTACCTGGGAAACCACATGAACATTGTCAACCTGCTTGGAGCCTGTACTGTTGGAGGTAAGGGGCAGTAGGTCTGGAGGACTGTACCAGCCTTAGAAGTAGAAGAGTTTATTCAAGATTAGAATTCTAATTATATGGTATCATCAATCTGAAGGGTGTGGGTAACTGGGAACTGGGTTTGTCAGAGGTCTTTGAGATACAGTAATAATCTGAACACTCCCCCCTTTTTTATCACCAATGATTTTATGGCTTGTTGAGCATTGGATCATGTTTTATGATGTAGAAGCGGTGATCCTGAAACTTGCTGTGATTGTATTGGTGTGTCTATGAGTCAGAGTATTTTGTTTATCTTTGTTTGTCTTTTGTGTGTTGGTTCTATGTGTTCTAGTTCTACTCTCATGTGACATGGCAATTGTGCTCCTTGTCTTCAGGCCCAACCCTGGTGATCACAGAGTACTGCTGCTTTGGTGATCTCCTCAACTTTCTGAGGAGGAAGAGAGAGACGTTTTTTTGCTCCAAGCTAGGGGAGGACTGCTACTACAGGAATGTCATGCTGCAGAGGGAGACAGCTACAGCTGGGTTAGTGTGGCCTCTTTACAATTATAAGGAGAGGGTGGTAGTTGAGTGGTGTATAATTATCACAGCACAGTATGTTCGGTATGTATGTGCTGTTGCTTATGTCATCTCACCTGCTCACGAAAGTAAATACCACTGCCGTTGTTGAAAATTCCCCAATTGAAATAAGCATGAAGTACTCTTTGTTGTTGTTGAGAAAACATACTTACAGTAAATGTATCTGGAGATTCATGATTTATATAAGGGAGGATTTCCTACCCAGTGTGTAGGAGTAATGTGTACTATTGGAATGGCAGCTGAACTGAGATCAGACTGCTCCTTTCCTCCTCACAGAGACAGCAGGAATGGCTACGTGGATATGAGGCCTTCTGTCACTGGCGTCTTGCCCAATGGCTTCTCCTCAGAGAAGAGGTGCTCGATGGGCAAAGCAGGCAAGACATCCACTCTGATATTCATTGATAATTGTCACATTTATAATTTCAGAGAGCGAATGTATACAACCTGCAATGTATCTTCCTCTATAAACAATGAAGCTACCTTTATACACAATGCTGCTCCCTCTATACACCTCTCTAATTATCTTGCTCCATCTCTCTCTTTCTCTCAGGTGGTTCCAGTAGTGAGCCAGATGTGAGTGAGATGCTCCATGAGGACTGTCTCTCTCTGGACACAGAGGATCTGCTCAGCTTCTCCTATCAAGTGGCCAAAGGCATGGACTTCCTGGCTTCCAAAAATGTAAACCCTTCATGTCCTCACAGAAGATCGCCTCTCCTAATAAGCTCCTGAAACCCCTCACCACTAGCTATCTAGAACAACAGGTCTATTTTGTAATCTGCAATTAAGTCCAGCTAGTGAAATCCATGATGGTAGATCATGTTAATGTCCAACCATTCTCTGGAAAGCACCCTTTCCACTGGTAAAGTTGGTTCAATGTATGAGAATATTAATGTCCAACCATTCTCTGGAAAGCACCCTTTCCACTGGTATTGTTGGTTCAATGTATGGAAATATTAATGTCCAACCATTCTCTGGAAAGCACCCTTTCCACTGGTATTGTTGGTTTATTGTATGAGATTACATTTAGACACACACTAAGCCGCACACACACATTAGTTCCATCCTCTTTCTTTCCAAACAATACCAGGATCACATTTCCATGGCTGGTCTACAGGTCCACAACGCATGTTTGAGCATGCTACTGAAAAATGTATAAGGCATTAAGGCAAGCGGACACCAGACTACAGCCAGGCCCTGTATTAGTGTCTGGGTGTGTATGGAACAGATTTTGGGAAAGGAAATGCACTGTCACAATGTATTAGTAGTATTGAATGTTCTACAGTATGTTATTTTATCTCATGTTACCTTATGCTATCTTATTACATTATGTTTCATTATTTGTTTGTGTGTGTGTGTGTGTGTGTTCAGTGCATCCACAGAGACCTGGCAGCCAGGAACATTCTCCTGACCCAGGGACGAGTGGCAAAGATCTGTGACTTCGGCCTGGCTCGTGACATCACCACTGACTCCAATTATGTAGTCAAAGGCAATGTAAGTCTGCCCCATCACTCGCTGTAGATCTCAATATGAGTTATAGATACTGCCGTGGACATTTTGCAGTGAATACCATCAATGGAATAGTCAAGCACAGGCAAAGTATTGATATAAAGTGTGCCTTCAGAAAATATTCATACCCCTTGACTTATTCCACATTTTGTTGTGTTAAATAAAAATGTCACCCATCTACACACAATACCCCATAATGACAAAGTGAAAACATGTTTTTAGAAATGTTAGCAAATGAAATGCATAAATATATAATTTACATAATTATTCACACCCCTGAGTCAATACATCAGGGTTTCCCAAACTCAGAGTTTGGGAAACCCTGCAATACATGTTAGAATCACCTTTGGCAGCGATTGCAGCTGTGAGTCTTTCTGGGTAAGTCTCTAAGAGCTTTGCACACCTGGATTATACAATATTGGCCCATTATTATTTTCTAAATTCTTCAAGCTCTGTCAAATTGGTGGTTAATCATTACTAGACTACCATTTTCAAGTCTTGACATAGATTTTCAAGCAGATTTCCGTCAAAACTGTAACTCGGCCACTCAGGAACATTCACTGTCTTCTTGGTAAGCAACTCCAGTGTATATTTGGCCTTGTGTTTTAGGTTATTGTCCTGCTGAAAGGGGAATTCCTCTCCCAGTGTCTGGTGGAAAGCAGACTGAACCAGGTTTTCCTTTAGAATTTTGCCTGAAAATAGCCTAATCTTCATGACTAATGTTCAAACTTAGATGTCAAAGTTCAAGGTTCTGGTCTAATGCTTCTAAAAATGTTAGGCATAACCATGTTCATGGAGCTCTCAACTAGCCGTTCCGTTTGATTTAATCCTAGAAAACTCCCTTCCTCTCCGGCAACTGAGTTAGGAAAGACGCGGACACCTGTATCTTTATAGTGACTGGGTATATTGATACACCATTCAAAGGGATATTCAAGGTCTGTTTTTCTTACCAATCTACCAATAGGTGCCCTTCTTTGTGAGGCATTGGAAAACCTCCCTGGTCTTTATGGTTGAATCTGTGTTTCAAATTCACTGCTCGACTGAGGACCTTACAGATAATTGTATGTGTGGGGTAAAGAGATGAGGTAGTCATAAAATAATTATGTTAAACGCTATTATTCCACACAGTGAGTCCATGCAACTTGTTATGTGACTTGTTAAGCACATTTTAACTCCTGAACTTATTTAGGCTTGCCATAACAAAGGGATTGAATACTTATTGACTCAATACATTTCAGGTTTTTATTTTTAATTAATTTATGAAAATATCGAAAAACATAATTCCACTTTGACATTATGGGATATTGTGTGTAGGCCAGTGACAAATATTATTGACACCCTTGATAAAGATGATCAAAAATGACTGAATCAAATAAATTATTCAAATACTGAGCTATATTGTATGCATTATATTAATGTTATACTAATACAATTAACAAGTAATATTTGTATTTCTCAAAAGTTAGGGGTCAAAATCATTGACACCTCTGTTTTCAATACCTTTCAATACCTCACCTTACGAAGGTGAGGTATAAAAAATATATATATATGACTTGTTAATTGTATTAGTATAACATTAATATAATGCATACAATATAGCTCAGTATTTGAATAATGTATTTTATTCAGTAATTCTTGCTTATCTTATTAAGGGTGTCAATAATGTCGGAGCCCACTGTATATCTGATGGATGTGATATTTTAATGTGCACTCTCTGACAGCTGTGTGTTTATGAATTACTTGAAATGTCACTGGTATGGGGTCACCAGATACAAATGTCTCAAACATTCAGCACCTTAGGGGAGTTTTAACCTCTCGTACTAACACAAGAACAAGCAGAGCTGAACATTGGTTTGAAATTCCACATCAACAGCATCTGCATTAATAATTTCCTCTCACTGGTCCTCAAGCCTCCACAGCTGTAGACAGCTGAAGCGATGGAGATGGACTACTTCAAGGATGTCAATAGATTTGCTTTGATGAATTTTCTGAATACATGAAGTGCATCTGACATATTTGACTGGTTGTGATGGTTTATGTTCCATGCAGGCTCGCCTCCCAGTCAAATGGATGTCTCCGGAGAGCATATTTGAGTGTGTGTACACATTTGAGAGTGACGTGTGGTCCTATGGCATCTTGCTCTGGGAAATCTTCTCACTCGGTACGTACGTACACATTATCCTCTGTGTGTTTGCATCCATGTGTGTGAGTGTCTGTGCGTGTGCGTGTGTGTTTTCAATTTTTTTCATCGATTTTTATTATCTTATTTCCTATATGGCCTATAGGAAGCAGTCCATATCCTGGGATGCCTGTTGACTCAAAGTTCTACAAAATGATTAAGGAAGGATACAGAATGGATGCACCAGAGTTTGCACCGAGTGAAATGTGAGTGTGTGTGTGGTGCGTGTGCATGTGTGTGTCTTGAGAAAGAATCAGGGAGTAGGAGCAGTGTATGCGTGGGTGTACTATGCATGGGTGTGAATATGTGGGATTTGAGCAGATGGCAGATCTTATGAATTTGTCTTCACCATAAAAGTTCATATTAAAACTAAAAAACTGTTATTAGACGTTAGCTAAATACATTCAATTTTCAGAATGATACACTTAGACAAAAGCCTGTAAAGTATGTTCAGTGTCACTTTGTAAGAGAGATGAGGGAGATAACAGGTGTATGTGCTTGGTGCCATGTGTGTGTGCTAAATCTGTGTGCTGTGGTTTCAGGTATGAGATAATGAGGTCGTGCTGGGAAGCGGACCCCTTTAAGAGACCCTCCTTCAGCAAGGTTGTGGAGAGGATCGAACAACAGCTGTCAGACACCACCAAACACGTAGGTCACTCTCATCTAACCTGCTTGTGTACACATGTTGACAGACTATGGATTTAAGCTATTCACAAGAGTTTACCAGCAGTAAATTCAATTTCCATATTCTTTTGAGATTTTATTTTGAAGTGCCAAAAGGTCGAAGCACCTTGAGATTTTGCTGTATTTAATAGTAGCGAACTACTATACAAATTCAATAAAATATTACATGCCCTCTTGTTTTAGTAGCGTACTGCCCTAGCCTTTTGTAAGCACACTCAGTCTCCCCATCTCTCTTTGGAAAAACCTGACAGATGTATTACCTTTTAAAATACCACCTATCAATCAAAGCGTCCCAACCACTGAACACTTCTTATCAGTCATCTAATAAGGCCAGTCCAGCTGGTTGGGAGGCACGTATCAGAGACTGCCTGTTAGAAGGGCTTGGCTGGTTGTTTTGAATTAGTTAATGGGTTACTTTTGACCTCCCTGAGGCCACAGGGGCACAGGGAGTCCAGACAGAGAACAGAGAACATGACTGTGTGCTCCTCCACCGCAACCACCAAGAGCCACACCAAGAGCCACATGTTAAGGATACCACCAGACTAGTCAGCCCTCCAGCCATATAGCAGTTAACACACAGAAATGTGTCAACCGTCCATTAATGCACGCACACCACACACACACTCAGTACCCATTGAACATCACACGACAGTTAGAGAAGGAGATGAATATGATTGATCGATCACTTGTGCCATAATCACCTCTTTCACTGTGTCATGTCCTCTCTGGTGCGAGTGACAGGGGTGTGAGGTGAAACTAACAGTGACACCTCAGGCCTCTCCTCATGAACTCAGCTCAACTCTCACTTCTGAAACATGCCAGTGAGATCTGAACACAGAGCAGGTCTTCTCTTCTCACGCCTCTCCCTTCACACCTTCAGACCAGAGTCCTTTTTACACCGTGCTGCATGTTGCTTACGCAGTAAGCAGAACTGCAATGAAAACACCTCTCCAGCACTACAGAGTATGTTGTATGAACTCTTTCTCTCTGTTTCTCATTCTCTGTGTAGATCTATCTGAATTTCAGCTCCAAGTTTCCGGTTACAATGGTGACCCAGGGTGCGAGTGTGGACCAGGGGACACAGAACGCCAACGTCCTGCGTCTCAACTCGGTGGGCAGCAGCAACGCCTCCACTCAGCCCCTATTGGCCAGTGCCAGCGATGACGTCTTCCTGGAAGAGATGGCCACCAGGCTCAGGGTCCACCGGGTGTAAGGCCCCGCCCACGATGGCTGCCCCATAAAGTGCCTGTTTAGTGCAGCCCAAACCCCCCACCACACCTATCGCTACCATATAATGTGTCTAGCTATTAGCCACCCCCTTCCAACCGTATGTCTAGCTAGTAGCATCCCCCTTCAGACAGAGGCTTGAAGAAGGACTGGGTCCTCTCAAAGCCTCTGCTCCTGGCGCCTTTAGTGCATGGACAAGACCTAGGAATGGCACCCACTGTCTCCATGGTATCTGGCCCTGTCTCACAAGCTTGGATATGGGACATTAGCCACACACAGTCTTGACTCTCCAGGCCATTGAGCTACTGTGTATCAAGTTTATGTGCTGAAATGGACACTATATCTTATAGCTCCATAATAGTGCTATTTTCAGTGGACTTTTCTCAATGTTGCTTTCACCGTTTCTAATATGTTTCATATAATGTTTTTGTTTGCCTCACATTTCTGTTGTCAATGTTCAACTGAATTACTATGTTTTTTGTTTTGAATGTAGTTTTTTTTTCTCAAACTAAATCATATAGCATTTATAATGGTTGGAGTTGAGGTGAAGGCACTTAAATTTGAACATCATTCCAGATGTAGACATCATGTAATGAAGCTTTCACCTTTTTTCTGTTCCACCTTCCACCTTTTAAGAATTAATGTCAGTATTATTCCACATGTTCAGTTTTGGTATTATGTGATGGAGAGACATTTTGTCAGACAATTCTAGGGCCAATGGTTTAAATGATATTCAGTAGGCTAAGTCTCAGAACGTCTCATTCTAATGAACTGATAAGTATGGTACTATGACTTCAGCTTTTCGTTGATGTCCCTGTGATTATGTGTATATATTGACCTTGGGTATGGCTAGTAATAAGTGTATGATGTGAGAGGTAGCATCAGCTTAGATTCAGCATGGGAGGTTGCCTGCTGGAGATTCCTTGTAAATATGTAAATATGTTGCTTGTGTCGGCACCTCTTCTGTCCTGTAGCGTATGTGTGACCCTTGTTTACATTGTCATCAGACAGGTACTGCTGTATCACCGTGGTGTTTACTTAGTATACAAACTGTCACCAACGATGGGGAAGGTTCAAACAGTGCATGGTTATGAGGAGCATACTGTACAAGGAAACAGGCGATTACTATTCAAGGCATTAGCCATTTGATGCTTTCTACTCATACAGATTGTCAAAGAAGGCTTTCTGTTTTGAGATAAAGCCAATGATGCTCGTTTCTAATGCCAATGTGGAGCTTGCAGTACAGACCAACAACCATTTAAGCTAAATGTTCTGAGAAAAAGCCAATCGAAAGTTAGATGTTAGAAGTGTCTAGTCAGACCAGGCTGTGACATGTCTTATAGCTCCCAACAGTCCTGTGGATAGTACAGTCAGTGCTCCCGTCCCAGCAGTCAGTAGCTGATTTCTCAGCCTTCCCTCTGCTCTTTGTGTCCAGCTGCTTCCTCTGACGGAAGTGCTACTTCCACCATCTCTCAACCAGAGCTCTGTATACTCCAGACTCCCATCACTAGGACTTCCCTCTTCCCATACTGAGATATTGTTGTGAAGAGCACCTGGAAAATGCTGTCTGAATGACTGAAAGGGTGTGTGTGTGTGTGTCTGCAAGTGTGTCTGCATGTGTGAGTCTGTGTGTCTGCATGTGTGCGTCCGTGTGTCTGCATGTGTGCTATTTGTAGGTGCCACTGAATTACATGTATGAAATTTACCCATCAAACTGTTCAACCCTGTCCTTCCCAAAGCTGGTTATTTGTAAATATGTGTGTGAATACGTGGATGCTGTGTTAATGTTTTCTTTTCTTTTCTATTGATATGGTACATTTAATGCACAACTCTGATATGCTGTAATATGAAAAATGTCATACCAGAAAGAGATACAAAGATACGTACATCCACTTAATATTTACTGTACATCTTCTTCTTTGGAGATAAGCTGCTTGTTTTTCTGTAGATGTGGTAACTACTGTAAACATACTGTACCTATACATAGTCTTTGTTTGGGCTTTGCTGTAGAATGTATTATTCCTTATGTAGTGTAATTTACCCCTTGGCTTGGCACTATAATATAATAATAATATGCCATTTAGCAGACGCTTTTATCCAAAGCGACTTACAGTCATGCGTGCATACATTTTTACGTATGGGTGGTCCCGGGGATCGAACCCACTACCCTGGCGTTACAAGCGCCATGCTCTACCAATTGAGCTACAGAGGACCACTAACCATCGCATGCTGTCTTCTACAAGCAAGCCAAACCATGTGTTATTTCTTCTAAACGCTTATGTACAGCTTTGCCTTACAAATCAAGTTGTTTTTCAACCCCAAACAGGAATGCCTTGTACTTTCATGGAAATGGCAAATATTGTCTAATTTTGCTAATTACAAGAAAGGACAAGTAGGACTGTAGGGCAATAACTTACATCAATACACTGCTCTTTCCCTTCTGCCACATGGAATAGGAAACATGAAAATAGGTAATTACACAGTAATGACATAATAGTTACATGGTTATATCTGTGCCATTCATCAAGCTGTTAAAAAGCACAATCAAAATATTGTTTGATTATCCCTAACAATTTTACTCTAGAACGGTTTATATAATATGACGGTTGATATGATGCTTGTTTTAGAACTTTTAGGACATTTGTATATTTCCCTGTACGAAGATACGTTTATTTTGTGCATTTAGTTGTATATTTATTTGACAAGAGGCAATGTGTGTTGTGCACATTTGCAATGGATTGCTGTCTCTTGTGTTACTGTAATAGAAATAAAATAAACCATCAAAATTGTTTGGTTAATGGTGATTTGTGTTAGACGTAGGTACCTTTTTCATGTCAGAATTGTGTGTATGTGTGCAGTTTGGTTATTTTGGGTGGCATTGCTGTCTACTCTTTTGATCCAGTTGGATAATGTGGTGGAGTAATTTTATTTAGATTGACATGTCACATATTGAATTGTCCCTCATAGATCTGAGGGACATATTGTCAGCCATCTGTGTCGAGCCTCTGAACAGGTGATGCTTCGGGGCACTGTCACTGACGATCTTCTTCCCATGCTAGTGTACAGTCATGCTAGTGTTAAGTCATGGACTGTATCTGTTTTTTAAATCATGTTTCCTGCTCCAGAATGGTCAGGGTCTTTTGCTTGGGTCCAGCGGGGGACATCTGGCTGAAGGGGAACGCCGCGAGGACAGTGGTTTGTCCAGCAGGCCAGGCCGGTGGACGGACAGATGGAGGGGCTTTGTGCCTGTCACTGCGTGGGCTGAGCCCATTGTTCTAGCATCTATCTGATAAGAGGGACAGGAAATCCCACCATTGAAACTGAGTGGTTGAATGAACACGTTTGTGAGACTCAGAGTGGTCGTTTAAAGTAAAAACCAGCTGAGAGAGAGGGAAGAATCTTCACTGTAATATTTCATCACGTTTTGTAGATCATTGAGAGACTGGACTTTGACAGCAAATGCTACTCACCCTTGAGCTACTGTACTGTGGGTCTGGTATGGATTTCTATATGGCCCAGTTGGGATTTTGATATGTATTGCTCTCACAATACAGTCCAATTAGGCTGTGTATTGCACCCCTCTTTTTCTCTCCCTCTTCTATCCGTCTGTCTCTCAGTAAGGGTATAATTCTGGTCAGGCCCTCATTCCAGCAAAATAGTCTCATTTGTTTTCTAACAGCCTCTGGTAAACGATACTTCTGACCAAGATGGAAAAACAAACACCCAATTGTGTCATGGCAGTTCCATTGCTTTTTCTCTAGCATGATGAGGTTACAAGGGCTGAGTGCCAACACGTGACACACTACACTGAGTATACCAAACATTAGGAACACCTTCCTAATATTGAGTTGCACCCCACCATGTTTTGGCAGTTTCAGAGGTGGAACTGCTCTTGTGATCATTGTCATAAAACCACACCCATCCCATTCACGTTAGAAGTTCAGAACGAGAAAGTGTAGGCTACATACAAATAATGAGGATTTCTAGTTTTTAACTACTAATAGGCCTACAACTAAAAACTAAAAACTACTGCTACAACTACTAATACAACTAATAAAAGTACCAATAATATATACATACATATTTACAAATATCTTCACATGGTGATGTTTCTATTAGTTAAAAACACAAACAGTTTGTTCTTAACATTTGAAAAAGGGCTTTCTTAAATTCACTCTGTGAATTTATGCCCTGATTTCTATAGGTAAGTTAAGATACTTAGTCAGTTGCACAAATGAATGCATTCAACCTAAATGTATCTTCCACATTTAACCCAACCCCTTTGAATCAGAGAAGTGCGGGGGGCTGCCTAAATCGACATCCAGATCATTGGCGCCTGGGGAGCAATTGTTGGGGGGTTAACTGCCTTACTCAAGGGCAGAACAGCAGATTTTTTTCACCTTGCCGTCTCAGGGATTCAAACCAGCAACCTTTCGGTTATTGGCCCAACGCTCTTAACCGCTAGGCTGTTATTCAGGTCAGTTGGTCAGTCTTACTCCAACCTTATGATGTACCCTTGGAATTGTGCAGTTGCTGCTGCTGTTGTTGAAAGGAGTAGTGTGAGTCTTGTAAAGTTAGGTGTTCCGTAATATAAATAGGGAAATTTAAGTTCATACATTTAAAAATAAATTTGTACCAATGCAGTTGGGGAGTGACAGTCAATTTAATGATTCATACATTGTGTAATGATGTGTCTTTTAATGGCATCCAATAATTAATCTGCAAAGATTGTTATAAATGACATCTAATTAGCAAAGTAAGGTCTTACTTGTGTTTAGATAGATGATGTCACCATAGTCTAGGATAGGAAGCAGCATTTGGGTTACTAAGGTCTTTATAATGGATACAGTAAAACAATTCTTAGATCTGTATAGTAACCCGAGCTTATAGTTAATTATTTTTCTAATATAATCAATATGCTTTCCAAAAGATAATTCAGAATATATCCTCACAGCCAGATGTTTCATACAATCAACACCTTCAAGCACTGTTCCATCACTTGCATGAATTTTGAAATTGCCAGCTGTGGAGTTTATTCTTTGCCGGGTGCCATGTGTTAATACTTGCATGTTTGTATTTGGGGGTGGGTGTGTGTATGTACTTTTCTAAAAACGTATCTGAATGTAGTGTCTGGTGTGCAGATTTTGAGTTCTGATGTGAAACTGTGGGGCTTTATATTTATTTATATTGTACAGTATATGTTTTTGTACTATGCTCCTTTAGTGAAAGCTCCAGTGCTGGTCTGACAGCGTTTGATAGCTGCTATTGCTAAACCCTGTTGTGTTATGTTTTAATGATTGTTTCACCGTCCTGTGGCATTGTGGTGACTGTGGCAGTTTGGCCTGAAAAAAAAGGGGATGGGGACATGGCGGTGTTGTTGAGCTAAAGGTTAGGATACAGAGAAAGAAGAGAGAGAGAGAGAGGGAGATAGAGAGATAGGTGGAAGCAAGGGAAGGCTGAGGCTCTTGGTAATCACACACCAGATTCTCCCAGGGGGGAATTGACACGTCAGAACTAAAATAACTTGAGCTAAATCAGTGAGTGATTTTTCATGCCCCCTTCAAAGGGGTTAAATCTCACCCCTTCCCATGGGAATGACAGGTGGCGTGTGTTCGCCCTGCATCCTGTGTTGTTTGGGTGCCTCCTTGTCCTTTCAGTCTACATTTCAGTCATTTAGCAGATGCTCTTATCCACAGCAACAATTAGGATTAAGTGCCTGGCTCAAGGGCACATCGACAGATATTTCACCTAGTCGGCTCAGGAATTCGAACCCGTAACCTCTCGGTTACATGCCCAATGCTCTTAACCACTAGGTTAACTGCTGCCTACGTCTCTCATTAACTGTCTCTGTATGGTTGTATGACAGCACAGCAGTCTATAGTTAGACTCCAAGGGTTCTGCCCTCGTCTCCAGGAATGTGCTAGGAGAGCATAATCACATTTCAATCAATCAATCACATTTATTTTATAAAGCCCTTTTTACATCAGCAGTTGTAAAAAGTTATGATTTTGCAAAGAGTTATGCTTTACAACATATGATGCTTTTGTCAATACATTGCACTCAATGAGAAAAGATCAGCGTCACCAAATCGATGCTTATGTCAATACATTGCATTCAATGGGAAAAGGTAAGCGTCACAATGCTTGACGCTTATGTCAATACATTGAATTAAATGTGAAAAGATGAGCGTCACAGGGTTCAACCTTATGTCAATACATTTCATTCAATGGGAAAAGATTAGCATCACAGGTTTGGTGCTTATGTCAATGCATTACAGTCAATGGGAAAAGATGACAGTCACCAAATGTAGGCTTATGTCAATACATTGCATTCAATGGGAAAAGATAACCATCACAATGCTTGATGCTTATGTCAATACACTGCATTCAATGTGAAAAGATGAGCGTCACAGGCTTTACACTTTTGTCAATACATTGCATTCAATGGGAAAAGATCAGCATTACAGTGGTTGAAGCTTATGTCAATACATGTCATTCAATGGGAAAAGATTAGCATCACAGGTTTGGTGCTTATGTCAATGCATTACAGTCAATGGGAAAAGATGACAGTCACCAAATGTATGCTTATGTCAATACATTGCATTCAATGGGAAAAGATAACCATCACAATGCTTGACGCTTATGTCAATACACTGCATTCAATGTGAAAAGATGAGCATCACAGGCTTTACGCTTTTGTCAATACATTGCATTCAATGGGAAAAGAACAGCATCACAGTGGTTGAAGCTTATGTTAATGCATTGCATTCAAAGTGAAAAGATGAGCATCACAGGGTTGATGCTTCTGTCAATACATTGCATTCAATTGGAAAAGATTACCTTTACAGTGGATGACGCTCATGTCAATATATTGCATTCATTGTGAAAAAATGTGCATCACTGGGTTGGCGCTTATGTCAGTGCGGCGGCAGGTAGCTTAGTGGTTAAGAGTGTTGTGCCAGTAACTGAAAGGTCGCTGGTTCTAATCCCCGAGCCGACTAGGTGAAAAATCTGTCGATGTGCTCTTGAGCAAGGCACTTAACCCTAATTGCTCCTGTAAGTCGCTCTGGATAAGAGCGTCTGCTAAATGACTAAAATGTAAATGTAATGCATTGCATTCAATGTGGGGAGGATTAGCCTCACACTATGGAAGCCTAGAGAAAGGCATCATGGACATGACACCCTCCCTCTCTTTTTTCACCCTCTCCCACTCTTTCTCCCCAATTGATTAATTTGCCCCTCTCCCCACCACATGGCAGAAAGGTAGGCTTCACTTGAAGCCTGACCTAGAGTTAATGTGCTTTTGAGTGACATCGGCAGAATGGTTGAGGCTAGAAAAAAATTCCACATATGGGATCGTTCAACAGACACTCCCGATGAACGCAAGCCTACACCTGACCATGTTAAATGAACTCTTCACAGTGAAAACTTGGTCTCACAGAGAACAAGGCCTTTCTTCCTTAGAAAAGCATTACCTACAGCCCTCACATAACGATAACGCCCCCGTGGGCTGCGATTGAGCTAGCTAACCGTCCTTCCACACAACCCATCATGACCTTATAGGGAAGCCCTGTGTTGAGGTTCAGCTTCCTGTGACAATTCATCCTCAACATGGTCCTTCATTCTCTCCCTGCAGTTATACAAAAACACCGTCTTCCATCCTCTGTAGAACGGTCATTTCAAAAAGGCTAGAAACAGGGCAACTGTTAAAGAGTGTCCCCGGGAGGCCGTACATTGAATTTCAGCATCCTGCCATTACAGGAAGTGACTTAATTCGGGGTCATAGGGGCAGTTTCAAAGGGTTAAAAAGGTTGAATCTTCCCAAATTTGACATACATGTATTGTGACCAGGGGACCGTCATTAAATTTGAAGTGAATCGACCCAAAAGCATTTATGACTTCCCTTGGACACAATGGTCTTGCAGTTCTAGAAACTAAGGGTATTGTTAGAATGAATTCTGAAGAGGATATTGATAAAAAAAAAAAAAAAGGTGTCTGTCTGCCTTTCTTTCTGTCTGTCTGTCTGTCTGTCTGTCTGTCTGTCTGTCTGTCTGTCTGTCTGTCTGTCTGTCTGTCTGTCTGTCTGTCTGTCTGCCTACCTGCCTGTGTGTCTGTCTGTCTGCCTGTCTGCCTGTCTGCCTGTCTGTCTGCCTGTCTGCCTGTCTATCTGTCTACCTGTCTTCCTGTCTATGTGTCTGTCTGCCTGTCTTCCTTCATGTCTGTATGCCTGTCTGTCTGTCTGCGAGTGGATATGTCTGTCTGTCTCTCTTAAGCGCCTACGGCTGACA